ACCAAACTAAAAATTAATATTTATTTACACACCTTTGTGGATTTCCAAATATAGCACTTAGATTACTTCACTCGCCCTAAAGTGATAAAGATATTTGACTCCCTTTCCTTCTCCCTCGTAACACTTCGCCAGTAACTCTGTGTTTTCTGTTTTGTAGGCCACAATTGTTTATCCTGTATATATTTTATGTTCTGTTTTAGTAAATTAAATATTTGTTTGTGATTTAGCTCTGTGTTGTGGTAAATCATTTTTTTTTCCTTTGTTACAATTATCAACACGTAAAACATGGATCTTTCTGTTCACATCGCCAAAACTTTAATTTAGGATCCCTCTTGCTTGTTGAATCAACAATAAAAAGGTATCCATTGTGTATCACTTTGTTTCTTTCATGTTTTGATAAAATATTTGCTTTCATTTGGAATAAAAGGGCTTTGACAACTGAAAAATTTGAAACTGCACTGAAGGAAATATAATATAATAATACCTCCAACTACTCTTTTTCTTAAATTGGACGAAGTACTAATAAGACTACTAAATGAGAGAGAGAGAGAGAGAGCAAATTTAACTATAAACATGAAGTAGTAATTTTAGGCCTAATCATCCTCTGCTGAAAAATTCCCATGTCAAATTGGCCATGCCAAATCAGCAACACCAAATGGGCTACGTTGGAATGTCCCATTCCTGAAAAAAAATGGTGACAAAAGTGATTCAATATAAAAATGTACATAAAACCAGTATTTGATTACGGTAAGTCAAGAGTATCTGTCATGCGTCATGTCTCTCTGATATCCTGACATCTCTCTGATATCATTCTGATCATAGATATCACATTTATTGTTCCAATGTCCTTTACAAAACCACACTGTTCTTGTCTTATTTCTAGTCTAATTCTCCTTCACAATCTATTAGAGTTCTTAGGTTGGTTATGTAACTCATTAAACTGATTGTCTGATGGATCACACATTAATTTGCACCAGGCTTTTTAAGAAATCCTATGAAGATGGATCTTCTAAGGTATGGAAACACTCTCATATATTATTTATTATTTCTGTCATCTTGTTGATGCCAAAATCATCTAAGGCTGAAAGTATTTCTATTACAGTCCCATTGGTCAAGTGCTGAATGTATTTCATACTTTAATATTTCCATTTCATATTGTGTATTGCAGATTTCTCTCACTTGTCATAAAATAGTTCTTCATCTTTGAAGGATTTTTTCTTTTTAGTATTTGACTAAAGCCAATAATGTATGTACAAATAACAATATGTCTTTGTAGTGAGATGCAAATTAGTATAATTTGCATATGAGCAGGTAGCTCATATGATAAATGGACACCAACTAGAATGCTTACTTAGCAATATACACGACACAATAATGGCGTCGCCGATAGGATACTCTTTGGTCCTTGAAGACCCAGAGTACGTAGATACGTGGATTCGTTGCTTTGCTGCTAATGCAAGATGTAAAAAGTTGAAAGACAACAAAAACAGAGGAGGGGAAAATGAAATCACCGACTTGTTCATGGCTACAGCTGGTTGTGAAGCGATTATGAAGGTTGCTACAATGGTTTACCCTCGAGAACTAGAAGAAATGACTTTCGAAGAAATAAGTCAGGTTATTAAGGGAAACATGAGGCCAAAGAAAAGACTGGTGATTGCAGAAAGGACCAAGTTTATGGCAATGAAGCAGGAAGTGGATGAACCGATAGTAAAATATTTACACCAGTTAAGAAGTGCGAGTAAATACTGTGAATTCAAAAAACTAGGAACAGAAGAGCAGACAACGGAAGAAGAATCCAACTAAGATTAATTGATGGTATGCATAATTCAGCACATAGATATAAGTTAATGGAACAGTTACAACTTACAAACATGCCTTTGAATATGTGTATAGAATTTAAACAACAGCAGGAATTAATACATACCTACAACCAAAATAAAAATAAATCATACGAAAGAAATAATGGCTGAAACATATACGGTACAAACAAAAAAAAAAAAATTGTGCGTACTGTGGAAAAATTCATGAAATGAAAAAAAAAATGCCCAGCCTTTGGAAAAACATGTTCAAAGTGTTTAAAAAAAAATCACTTCAAAGAAGTATGTAAAACGAAAAATGTAGAAAGAGTAGAGGATGAAAATAGACAGATTTTTAATGTAAAAAAGGATAATATACAAAATACTGGATCTAAGAACGGAGATACAAAAATAAAAGTGAAAATCAACGACTATATTGTTGAAATGCAAATCAACACAGGTAGTGAGGTCACGATATTACCTAGAAATTTGTGGGAAAAAAATGGGAAAACCGTTTTTAAAAAAAACCAACGTACAATTACGTCAGTTTGATGGCTCGATTATAGCAATTATGGGTTACTTTGAAGGTTCAATAGAACTAAAAAGAAAATATGAAATAGTACCCATTATAGTTACAAATTGTCGAAAAATGCATGGACTATTGGGGAATGACGTGTTAAAAATAAATTCAACGAAGTTGATTAATGAGATAGAAATAGAAAAAACAGGAAAATTAAAAAATTATGAAGCTAGCCTGAAATTAAAAGAAAATGTTTCCCCCTCCTACTACGAAGCGAGAAAAATACCAGTGCATTTATTACCATTGGTAATAGCTAAATTGTGAAAGCTAATAAAGGAAGACTTATTAGAACCTGCCCCTCCAGGAGGAAGTAAATGGGCATCACCCATTGTGGTATTGAAAAAAAAAGATGGTGACCTGAGAATTTGTGGAGATTATAAAATAGGGGTGAACCATAAAGTTTGTGCTGACTCGTACCCTATTCCGAATGTGGAAGTAGCTTTACATAAACTTGCTGGAATTACCACCAAATACCGATAAATGAAAATTTTAAAGAAGTGACGACCATAAATACACCTATAGGCCTGTTAAGGTGGAAAAGAATGCCGTATGGCATAAAAACGGCAAGTGCAATTTTTCAAAAAGCTATTGAAAAAGTAATAGGAAATGTTGAAAATACCATCTGTTATCAAGACGATATGTGTTGGAGATTTAAATGAAGATGATTTAAAGAAAAAAACTGAAAATATACTGAGCCGGCTAAGAGACGCTGGTATAACAATAAATACAAAAAAAGTGTAACCAACAGTAATGAAATATCATTTTTGGGTTACTCAATATCAAAGGAAGGGATCTCTCCAGATAAAGTACTAATAGAGAAAATTCTAAAAGTTGCTACACCGAAAAATAAAAAAGAGTTGGAGTCCTTCTTAGGTTTGGTAAATTTTTATAGAAAATATGTACCAAAATATAATGAGTTGACAGAACCATTTGCTAAGTTAAGAAAAAAAAATGTGGAATTCATTTGGTTAGAACACCAACAGAAAGCCTTTGAAAACTTAAAACAGATTCTGGCAAAAAAGCCAATAGTACAAATTTTTGACCCTAAGAAGAACATAACTCTAACTACTGATGCTAGTGAGCAGTCCATATCTGGTATTTTGTCACAAGATGGGCATCCCATAATGTACTTATTGAGGAGATTAACAACAACTGAACACAATTATTCGAATATAGAAAGGGAGGCACTAGCCATAGTGTGGACAACGGATAGAGCAAGATGGGAAAAAAATTCTTGTTGAAAAGTGATCACTGGAATTTATTTTCAACCCAAGAAAAGAGCTACCGAAAGTTACAACGTCCAGAATATTACGTTGGGCGATTAGACTGATGGCGTTCGACTTTGACATTGAATATGTTAAAGGGAATACGATACCGCACGTTGATGCCTTATCTAGATTGAGGTTTTATAGAGAGGAGAAGGACAAAAACGACGAGGAATTTGAAGACACATTCTTGCACCTTGTAGAAACTGATGTAATATCTGTAGATAAAATGGCTACTGAAACTACAAATGACCCAGTGTTAAATAGAATAATGTCGAGGATAAAACAGAATCGCTGGGGAAATTGTTCAATGGCTGAAAAGACCATTCAAAGAAATTAGACATAGAATGACTATAGAAAACGGGATAATATGTAATGGAGACTTGGTAGTTCCCACAGAAACACAGAGGAGACAGGTTATAAAAAGTGTACACGATGACGTACATTGTGGAGTGGCAGCTACGCAAAGAAGATTAAAATTGGAAGCGTGGTGGCCGGGGTACTCAAGAGACGTAGAAGACTACGTAAAAAGATGCAAAAAAATGCACAGAACTCAGGAATTTTAAGCAAAAGAAAATACATGTATAGCCCCGAGAAGTAGAACCATGGAGCAGAGTACACATGGACCATGCCTATGTCAATGGGATAGGACTATTATCAATATTAGTAAACGCATATTCAGGTTGGCCTGAAGTGGTGAGAGTACCTGATAAAAAAAGTACCACCATAAAACAAATATTAAGAGTAATATTTTTGAGGAATGGGACACCGAGAACATTGGTGACTGATAACGCACCAGAATTTGTGGATGCTGATTTGCACAAATGGCTAAGAAAAATAGGATGCAGACCTTACAAGACCCCTCCCTACCACCCTCAAAGTAATGGGACAGTGGAAAGGATGGTCCAGATGGTAAAGAAGGGCATAAAAGCATGCTTGCAGCAGAAGGAGGAAATCGATGCTTTTCTACCAAGACTACTATTAAGTTACAGAACAATTCCACATGCAGGCAGGCCGGAAAGTCCATCTGCCTTAATGGGCAGACAATTAAGGTCCCCTTTGACTATGTCATATGCCACAAATCAAAAGATGTGGTACAAAAGAAATAGGAATATGCAACCCGAGTCAGCCGAATTTATTATGCAGAAAGGACATAATACTGCAATATTAAATAAAGAAAATGGGAACAGTGTTCTAGCTCATGCTGACCAAATAAGATCCCAAGGAGAAGAATCGGATGAGGAAATGCCTTCAGAGATGCCCATTATTGACGTAACAGAAGAGTTAATGCAGAATGAAACTGCGGAGGAAGAAGTAGAGAGGGATGAGTTAGAAGAGGAAGAAGTAGAATGGGACAAGTTAGAAGAGAAAGACCACAGTATGCAAGAGGAACAGTTCGATTATAGGGAAAGACGTGATAGATCTAGATCTCCAAGGGAAAGGAGAGAGATAAAGGAAGATGTTCAGGAGGGCACAAGAAGAAGTACAAGAAGTACTCGCAGGATAAGGCCCCTCCGTTATAGGGAGATGTAGTGAGATGCAAATTAGTATAATTTGCATATGAGCAGGTAGCTCATATGATAAATGGACACCAACTAGAACAGAGGTCGAATGCTTACTTAGCAATATACAGGACACAATAGTCTTCATGAATAAAAAAAAACATCTGGTATTTTGAAATTCATGCAAATCACTCATGAAAGTCAGATATATTTCATGTGAAAAACAAAAAAAAAATTTGTTATTCAGTGTTGGTGTTTTGGCTGAGCAAAGAGTAAAGTTGAAAAATGTGAAAATCTAGAAAAATATCCAGATATAAAAGAGAACTGAAAAATGAGAAAATATGAAGTTATAATAGTTATACACATCACTATCAGCATACCTGGAATGGTTTCTCAAAGAGGCTTGCAAAGCCATTGGAAGAACTGGAAATATAAGAAAAAATCAAAATCCTCAAGACAATAGCAGTAATAAAATCAGATTAAATAGAGAAAAGTGTTCTGGAGTATTAAGGAGACTTGCTGTCATTTGATCTTCAGTGGAAATGATCACTTATTAATGAAAACTGAATATATACAAATAACAGATTTTTAACATCCTATTTTAGATAATGTTAAGGAATCTGTAAAATATTCTTTTTACTGAAAAAACAAAAATAGTCAAACCTGAGTGCTTGTTGATCTTTGGGTGGAAGCAACCGAGTTGAATTCATCTCCTGACATCAAAGATTTAAGCTTACTATCAATCAGATTTAGAAGGGCTTTGTCCTCATTGCTGGAAGTGAAGCCGTCACCTAGTGGGCAATTCATGGAACTGACATTCCAAGAACAATTACTCTGCAAAAGAAAGAAATAGAAGATAAAAGTATGACTTCATATTTTAGGCATTCATCTTGATTTTAAATTAATACAAATAGAAAATTAACAATGCTCAAGGGAACTGTATTATGTAATTTTAAATAGTGAGAAGCAATGGAAATATTATCTATTTCTTAATGATGAAAATATCTACTAAGCAGAAAGAAATTACAATCTGGGAGAAACAAAGCAACACACAGATTTTCTATGTATAAATATCTTTATATTGTATATGCATTTATTGACTATTGCTGACCAGTCCCATACGGAACAGACTAATTCAGCTACAGTGACAATAGAGAAAGGTTTAGTCTGGGGCTGGTGTTGTAGTGATATAATTAACACAGTTTTTCTCTTTTTCTTCCTGCTCATCAGGTCAGCCTCAAGTTCATGTTCAGAGGAGTGGACAGTTCAGTGGACAGTGAGTAACTAGGTCTCCCAGATTGTAGCTAGGTCAGACCACTGAGAGATTTCTTCAGAGTCTTTGTATCTATTTTTGTGTGTCCCACTGTCATGGTGTTCACATCACAGTTCACCATGCAACATGTGCAAGCATTGGCCATTCATCTTGTAAGGATGTCCTGCTCAGTATAGGTTCATCTTCAACAGCATTGCTTTAATGCTATTACTAGCTTGTTGCTTGTTCTAGAACTTCAACATTGGAGACAAAGTCATTTCATATAAAAAAAAGTACATAAACAAACTGACTATAGTGAACAATGTTGAGATTAAAAGCCTAAAAATCAATAAGATTGTCATGATTAAAAAAACAGGATATCTGTATAGTAATGTAAAAACCCATAAACCAGATTTTCCTCTCCAGCCTATTTTATTGCAAATACCTACAACAGTATACCAGCTATTGAAAACTCCAAATAGCATAATTTTTTCATACACACTCAACACTTACAATATAACATCAATAAATGGATTCCTCGATATCGTAAAAGCAATAAATCCCACTGGTAGGATCCTTGCTTTGCTCAATGTTGAAAATCTTCTTACTGATGTCCTAGGTGAAGAAATAATCAACATAATTAGTTCCTGCATCTACAAACACCCATCAATCCCTCTTCCCCAAATCACACTAGCAACTCTTAAGAAACTACTCCTTGCCTATACTACAAAAACTCCATTCTATGATCATAGCAACACCTACATCCAAAACTAATGGTTTCAGCATGAGAAACCCATTAGGCCCTGCTTTCTCTAATTTTTACATGTCACATATTGAAAACAAAGTGTTTGAAACAACTGACAAATCACAAATCTACACAAGGAACATTGATGACATTTTCATTTTGATAAAAAATAAAGATGAAATTATAAATCTAAAATCAAGTTTTTAAAAAAAACTTCACACTAGAATTTACATACAAACTCATAGTTAATAACAAAATCCCATTTCTTGATGTTAATATCGCACTAAGATCTACAGTATTTACCACCTACCCATATTAAAAAATCACCAGTATGAACTTTTGCCTTCTAAACTATGACTGCCAATGCCCGGAAAAATATAAAATAGCAGTGATAAAAAACTTCCTAAACAGTGCGCATCAAAATTCCTCTTCCCAAAGAATATTTCTGAGTAAACTAAAATACACAAAACAAACATTAGTCAATAATAATAATTTTCTCAACTACATCATCAATAAACAAATAAAATTATTCTTACAAGAAATACATGACAACAGTAATAAAAATACCACACAACAAAACATCAACATGTTTTACTGCAACCAGATAGATGCACAATAACTATAAGCAAGACAAATTCACTATATAGTCATTAAACACCATATTTCTGCCATAAATTCTGGAAAACATGTAAAACTTATAATATATTACAGAAAATGGAAAACTTTGTGGTCACTAATCAAAATAACCCCATCCAGCAAACTTAAACTAGTGATGATCAATATAGTATATCAATTTCACTGCCCAGTAATTTTTTTGTCATAAATCAATTACCTATATCAGACATACTACTACTTCCTTGAGTAGATACCTCACATGTCACTTATCAGATAAAAAAAACATGATGTACAAGATCCCTTAAAGAAAATCCCGGTTGCAAACACAAAAATTCTATATAAATCAAATTACCAAAGACATTTTGCTGTAAGAAAGGCCTTGTATAGTAATTTTTTAAGTGTAGCTTGGATGTGGCACAAGGCCGAAAGTAAGGGGCACCCAGTGAGAACTGAACTCACTACTGAGTCATAATTCTGTCTATATTTCTGAGATGAGGTATTATGTACACTATTTACATTATTCGGACTATTGTCCTCATCTTTGTCGCCATAATGTCAAACTGAACCTTTTATTTCGCTCACTGGGGTAGACTGTTCTAGTTCCACGTGCCATGCCCCTTTTTTCTCCATATGTGGTCAGCCGTGCCTGATTTTTCCACTTCCCCTTGTGTTACAGCTTTCTGGTGTTCTTGAAGCCTTACCTTAAGGGGCGGCCTGTCTCTCCTTTATATTTCTTTGCACAACTGCACAGGATAGTGTAAACACAGATCAACACCCTCTGTGGGATCAGGTTGAGATCATAGACAAAGAACACCATTGGAAAATTCGTAAACTTAAGGAATCAGCACATATGCTAGGCCACAAAAATCTCCTGAGCTGACCAAGCATAGAAATGAATATGGGAACCAGTAATAAGGAGTGCCAGAGAAAAGCGATAATAACAACAAAAATTGCAATATGAGCTCTGGATAAAAAATATGCAATGATAACAGCAAAAATTGCAATATGAGCACTGGTAAAAAATTGTTACTGAAGACATTAGGTGTATAATACCCAGAAATTCATGGGACACATGGCACAGTGGATAAAGGCGTCAGTTAGATCCAGTGACAGGACCCAAAGAGTGTGAGTTCAATACCCAGTTAAGGCAGTGGAGAAGTTGGAGAGGGGAATTAACAGGAGATAACTGATATCCATTAAACATTGCATGTGGAACTAGAAGAGTCTACCTCAGTGAGCGAAATAAAGGGTTCCAATCACCTGGAGAAGGCCGGAGTGTACAACGGCCGAAATGTTGTAATAAATATGGCGACAAAGATGAGGACAATAGTCAGTCATAATTGTTCTAGTGAGACAAGCTTGTTAACCATTACACCACCTCGAGGTGCCCAAGGCCTTGTATATAAAATATCTCGCACCCACTATCACCCTCACCTTATTCAACAGTGGTAATGAGATGTTGAAAGTTTTTTAAAAACAATAGAAACATGCCCATTTGAATTCCATCCATGCTTAACATGCAAAATTCAGAATAAACACTCCTAGTATTCAAAACAACACAAAAACACATCTTATATAGTCAAACATGAAGAGAAATTAATGAGCCCAAAACAAACCCCCTTGTTAAAAAATTTGTCCGAAAGTGCTTGGGATAATTTTTGCATTCCCTTATTCCTACCAGACAGAAAAATATAAGAATTCTGGAAAAACTAAATAAAAAATGAATTAAATTTTCTTTGTCTGTGATATTCAGTGAAATATGTTTAAAAGAAAGGTTGCTACCCAAATATACATTAATATATACATGCGTGTCTGTGTATGTGCATGTAAATGCGGATATATATGAATTGGTATATGTCTATATAGTTATTTATGTGTGTAAGTATATATGCATAGATATCTATGACTTCATTATTGGGCATATATTTGTATGTGTGAAAGGAATTAGATATTTTATAGAGCTTTCTTTGTTGCCAATTACATAATAAATTACAGAAAATAGCTTAATATGCAGGAGTAAATTCAATGAATATCAACCAAAAGAAACATTATTACTTACAAAACATTAAAATTTTCAATATCCCAGAGAGCTTTATATTTTTGTGGTTGTTTACAAAATGAAAATTAAGTTAAATGGTTTAATCCAATTTTGCTAACATGTTAACATTGTTAGAGTATGCTTCAAATTAGATCTCTTTCTGATTCATTTTACATCAAAATCTGTCAGCCGGATGTGAACACTACGAATAAAAAATAAAAATAGTGCTAATTGTGCAGGGCTCTGAGCAGTGCACCTGGCTCACAAAACAAATCTGCAAAAATATAAAATAAAATCTAAACATCAAACCCAATAATGAAAGTTATAAAGCAAAAGTATGACAAATATGCTGAGTCATGTATCCTCCTTGACTGATTAAAAGGACCTACTCAGCAACATTGCAGTAGCAGGCAGTCACAGCATTCATCAGTGGTATCCTGGTCAATTGACCTGACAAAAGCTTCAATGCCAGGCCTATACACAACCAAATACCCACTAAATGAGGAAATTATAACTGGGCTAGGGATCAAGACAAACCATAGAGACTAGTTTATATTTTTATATTGATGTGATTACTAAAATTAAATTCATGATTATGATGTGTTTAGTGTCATGATATACAGGCTATCAGAACTGAGATGATGATAAAGATATAGCAGATGAACACAGGTTCATTTAGCCTTGAGGAATAAGTTATAGTTTATTTGAGTTCTGATTAAAAAACGCAGTGTTATTTTGGTTTGTTTTATCCATGTATGACTAAACTGTAGTCTATTGTTTGATGGCCTGTGTTAAAATATGATTTTATCTAAATTACATTTGGATTCCAAAGTGCCGGCTTGTTGAACATCAAAATCATTATTTAGAATCCTGGATTAGAATGATTGTAATTAAAATCAAACATGCAATTATTTCAGTTACAATAGAGCATAAACCACAATTCATCTGGAACTTTATTTAAAATTTGGTAAAGAAGTTAAAATGCGATTAACAGAAAATCAAAACTCACCTCAATATCTTGATCATGATCGAAAAATACATCAAGATCTTGTAACAAAACTTCAATCCTTTTTTTCTCATTTGCTGTCATTGGAACTGCACTGTTAGCATCTTTAAGCAGCTGCAAGGAAGAAAAACTGTTAAAGTCATCAATATGAATGTTAGATAATAACAGACATAATTGAGTGCAAAATAGTTTAAACATCTCTATAGAAAGTATACAAGTCTCTTAAACTATTGATAATAAGTTAATGCCTCAGAAACAAAGCCTTGTATTTTTAACAGATTCTGTAGATTCAACAGCATATGCATGTATAAGCAGGAGGAAACACTATGAGAAAGGCTGAGAAAAAGTAGAAAAGTATAGTAAAGATGGAGCTTTTGTAAAACTGATAGAGATAATTTTTTATAACAAGAGACTACTTGGAATTTGGTAACTCACTTAAAAAATAATGCATTTATTTTAAAATAGGACAAAAAAAAATTTAGCTTTCAAAGATAAAATTGATGTGTGTTTATTTTAGTCAAATGAGTATATAAAAATAGAGCAAGTAATTAGACAAAATTATTAGGAAAAAGTAGAGTACAAGAAAAGGAGATTAAAGACTTTGTTCTCTAGCCTATTGGTAACTGGACTGTGTGTTTGGCTCACAAAATTATTTATATGAAAGGTATGGTAAAATGCTATGCAATATCAATTCTCTTATATGGCAGTGACATCTAGACAATTTTCTCACAGATAAAGAGGATACAAATATGTGGTTTTGCAAAAGGATACTGAGCCCACTGTGGACAGAGCATGTGAGTTACAAGGAATTTTTAAGGAAAATGGGAAAAAAAAGACACTTGTTCATAAAAAAGAGAGTTGAAAGTTCTTGAACACATAATGATCCCTCATTATGTGGAGAGCTTGGAAAATGTCAGTCACAAGATATATTGAAGTGAAAAGGAACAGAGGTAGGCAGTGAGCCACCTACCTGATAAACTTATGTAAATGTATGGTAAAATGGAGAGTGTAGTCATGGTAAAAAGAGAAACATTGCTAAAACCATAGGAAGTTATGGGGTGGCATAATTTCGCAAAATGACATGGCATGACACACAGAAGCAGATATGCAATAGTAACAAAGAAATTTATAAAAAAATAGTTAACTCAACTGAGAAAGTTTGTGAGAAAAATAGTTGAGTAAATTATGAATAATAAAAACAACAAAATGTCAAAAAAAAATGGAAAACAGGAAGATATTCAGCATATATTGGTGTCTATATTGGTTTATATATATTGGGGTCTGTATTGGTTTATATATATTGAGGTCTATATTGCAAGAGATAAAGAAAACCAAAACTGATAAATATGACAAAGTGAGAATGAAGATAAATGCTTTAAACACACAATAACACACATACACACACCCAAATATATAAATATATATATATATAGAGAGAGAGAGTGAGAGAAACAAAAGAAGATAGAGAGAGAGTGAGAGAGAAAAACTAAGAGAGAAGTAAAAAAATAAGAATTGACAGAAAGTGTTCTCAAACCAAAATATCATAAATCTAATGTATTTATGCATACAAAAAAGCTCTGATCAAATTCTTTAAATTCAGAAAGAGAATAAAAAGAAAAATTTATAAAAGTGATACAAAGTTGTATGCATCATGTAAAGAATATATAGGAATAAAGAATGTAGACAAATGTCAGGAACACCTAGACAGAAATGGATGAGGGAAATAGGAAACAAGAAAGAAATGAAAAATAAAAGAAAATAGAGAAAGAGAGATGAATGACGTCATGAGATGCGGTGCGATTTTCGCTTCTAGCGTCTTATATGCACGTGTTTATCGTTGCTTAGAGATCTTCTATGTAAACATTCACAGACTGTCATCACAGTCTTGTCCGTATATTGCTTAATATGTTGTAATTGACATCTTTGATAATGGCTTATGTAAGCCGAAAGCTTAGATTGTATTAAAAAATATGGATCAATATTGTGAATTTCTTTCTTCATTCAATGATAATGTTATTAAACTTATTAGACGCTATGAAAAGAATTTACATAAAATAAATAGACAACACTTGTCTATATTATTTAATGAAACGTGTATGAATGAAAAGATGCTGCCTAAATATATATATATATATATATATATATATATATATATATATATATATATATATATATGATAGATAGAAAAGAGAGAGAGAGAGAGAGAGATGTGATGAATACAGAATGATTTAGAAAATGTTGACAAGGAAAGAAACGGAGAATATTTAGAAAGCAGGAAAACTAATATAACAGGGGGTGAAGTCGATGAGATAAAAAGAAATATATCATGTGACTTTAGAAAGAGAGAGAGGAAGATGTAGATAACAGAAACTTATGAAAAAAGAAAGAAAAATGCAAGAATGTGAAGGCTAGAAGAAAGAAAGTAAAAAGAAAGGAAGAAAGATTAATGGAAAAGAGCTAGAAAGAAAGAGAGAAATAAGAAGAGAGTCAAACACTGGGATAAAGTGACAGAGAAAATAGATCTATAAATAAAAAAAAGATAGTTTGTTTTTTCAGGTAAAGTATAAAAAGAAGAACAATTTGTGCTAGCAGAGACAGAGCAAGGTAAGTTGTTTTAGGATTGTTTGGTATGCAGAAGTAGGAATGTAAAATTCCAAATCTACAGCAACCCATCACTACTAATGGTGCTGCTTGTAATGAGTGTCAGTAGCTGCAAAACATTAAATAAACTGACAATTATTACAAAACCAGACAACAGCAGGATTATACTAAGACAACCAATCAGTCAAGTTTCTAAACCTCAGTAAGTAAACAAGAGTTTGCTGGGTCTTTTGAAGTCATAGAATTTACAATAACTAACAAGTTTAAAAGTAATTATAGTCAAAACAGTGCTAAAATGTAAATATATAAAATTATGAGAGTCATAAAGAAAGAAAACTCCTCCAAATTGGATCTGAATTTTTCTGTGTCTGGGGTAAAATTGAGTTGTTTGTATTTGGTAAGGAGGGAAAACTCTTTCTCCAAGAATAATATAAATGGCAACATTTCCTAAAATAATTATTTTACATTTAAAGCAAAAGATAAATAAAGCATATAATATACAATGTTATACTTATTTTTTATGATTTTTATTTTAAGCACGAAACAAAACATATGAAAACATATCTGTAGCCTGAGATATAGTTAACTGAATTTTCACTTATTTACTATTGAAATAAATGCACTGACAAGGAAAAAGATTATGCTGAAAAATAAATATTTGTTTTGTAAAATAAATGCTTTTTTATCATTAGGTTGCAGACATATTGGTTGAATTACATATAACTTCATGGAAAATTTAATCTCACTCTTGAGTATTAAAAAGAAACTATAATAAACATACTTGTTAATAATTATTATATATTATTAGAATGATAAAAATATCAAAATCAGTTAGTCTTTCAGGTTTTCTATATGTATATTTTTGTAATAATTTTATTTTTATTTTTGACTTTAACTTTACTAGACAACAGTATTTAATATTTTGTTCCACTATCTTCTGCAATCTTTCAGGCAACTTCATATTTCCATTCTCCCAGAATTTATTATCTTTCTCAACAAAGAACTGTTATCAGTACCTTTTCAATTTTCCTTTTAAATAAAAGAATTGTATAAAGACTGGAATAAGCAATTTGATGGTGAAATAATTTGATGGTGAATATAATGAATGAGTGAAAACTTTCCAGGTAAGCTGTAATAATTTTTGCCTGCTCACAAAATGAATGTCATCTAACATAGATAGAATATTTTATCCATTCTTCTAAATAATTGGGATGCTTTTAATCAACTAATGCATTATGATGGAGTAATGGATTGTGACTCGGATTGAAGAATCAGAGAGCTGAGTTTTCAGTCAAATTCATTACATTCATTTATGTACTAATACCCTTGGAAAAGGTATGGATTCATCCCCCCGCCCACCAAACACACACATCTAGCTATGGGTAAGTAGCAGAACAGACTGGATTCTATAGTCTTGGGTGGCCACCAGTCTAGGAAATAGAAAACTCTGAATTCAAAACTGTATGTAGCCCTGGTGAAACATATACTATGTAGCTAAGGAAAGGATCATTTGCACTGACTCATTAATCCTGACTATAGTCAATTCATTTTTTCTTTGAATAAATTGTTTGACTATCCACAAAGAATCCACAGTAGAAGATTTCTTTCCAATCCCATCATATGCACAGCATCAACATCTCTGGAGATAGACCCTTAGTATATTTAGTGATAGTTTATTTTACTTGCCCTACAATCTCTTATATTGAACATAGTTGTACAGTAATCACTTCTCATCAACTATCACAATTTGTTTCCAAAACAGAATATTCATGGTCCAGTAGAGTTTTTGCTCTTAATTTATATAGAAGCCATACATCAAAATGACTAACATGTTGGTGCAAGTTTTGATTTGTATATTCTGAGTATGTTGTATCTCCTGTGTCATTTCATGTTGATTATTTTCAAGAAATATCTTGATTATATTACTTAATTTTAATTGATCTACTTGCCCTTAACTTGTTAAACTACTTTTGACACAATTGATCATTTAAATTACTTTCTCCATAATATTCTTGCTTTTTTACTTTCCTTAAGATGAAAAAGTTTGATATACTGAAAATGTTGCTTATTTTTTCCCATTTTCAGTGTTAGAATCAATATACGATTTTGATAAAATATTTTTAAATGCATGCAGACATAACAGCTGTCACAAGACAATCAAAAGCAATTATTTTATGCATTCAAAGCAGACTTATTTTCATTGTAGGTTTATTTTATATCCTTAAGGATATTAAAATTAAAATGACTAATGCAATGATTCTAAAGTTGATTTATTACATTTTTAATATAAAATTATCTCTATGTATAAATGAAAGTGAATATTACATTTAAAAATAGTCTAATTTTGTACAAACAGTAAGAGTCATGATCTGAAAACAACAAATCAAAAGCAATAATTTGATTATATAACATATTTGTACAAGACAGATTTTATTTATTTTTAAAAATAACTTATCTTACTATATATGAGGGGATGTATGTTTTCCAATCACTTTCATGATGACAAAATCTCAAGTAATGAAAAATGAAATTTAATAATTTTGTTTTTTAAAGATAAGTACAAAATGCTTGATTTAATGACAATCACAAATACTGAT